AGGGAAGGTCAAGTAAGTAGAATCTATAGAACTCTGATGACTGCCTGTGCTGAGAGGGACAGAAGGAGGAATGGTACAAGAGGAAGAGTCCAAGATGACTCCCCAGGGTACTGTTTCAGATGACTAAATGGAAGGAGTGTGCTGTGGATTGATTGAATACTGTCCCCAAAGTTTACATATTAAAAGCTTAATTCCCACTGTGACTGTTGAGGTTGGGAAATCCTATTATGGTAATTGAAAGGTGGGGCCTTGAACAGCTGATTAGATTCGAGGACCATGCCTTAGTGAATGGATTAAAAATGGTGGTCATGGCCATGGTTCTGAGGGCTTTAAAAGAAGAGCACATGAGAGGTTAGTCTCTCCCTGCTCTGCCATTTTCTGCCATGTGAGACCCTTGGGTCACTGTGCCACGACCAAGACCCTCACCAGATGTGTTTCTTGGACTCTGGAGTTTCCAGCCTCCGAAACTGCAAGCAATAAATTTCTTTTTCTTATAAATTACCCAGTTCCAGTATTTTGTTATAAGCAACAGAAATGGACTAATACAGAAGGAAATGGGCAAGATTAAAGAATAGAGAAAGAATGGCAGGTTTGGAGGGAAGATGATGAGCTTAGTATTGGACTCACTGAGTTTGAGGGTGGCACTCAGGAGAGACCAGGTCCAAGATATAGAGCAGGGGTCATGGGCACATAAATGAGTACTGAAGCCAGGGGTGACATGAACAAAGAGTAGAGGGCAGAGCCTTGGAGAAAACAGGTACTTATAGAATGAAAAGAGGAAAAAGACCCACAATGGAAATTGAGGGAGAAATGGCCAGTTGTTGTAAGTGAAGGCAATGTCAGCAATGTCAGATGTGCCAAGAAGTCAAAAAATAAGAAAGGAAAAATGCCCAGAAGTTCTGGCAACGTGGAGGTCTCATGGCTTTGGGGAGACAGTTTTGGTGGAGTGGTGGGACAGAAGCAGGACTTCAGTGAACGATGACTTGAAGTAGAGACAGAACCTCCAGACAACTCTCAAAGAAATGTGGCTGGGAAGAGCAGGCATGATGGGGTGCAGCAGATGTTACTGGCAGAGTATTTCATTTTTTCCAAAATAAGAGTAAGTTGAGGATATTCAAATGGGAAGGGTGGATGAAACAGGAAAGAAAGTGAACAAATGATGGAACCAGGTCCATGAGGCAAAGGTGATGGGATCTCACACATACAAGGAGAAATTAGCCTTAAAACAAACACAATTTTTTCTTTCACAAAATTAGAATAAAAATGATTGGGTCCGCTGGAAATCAGTTTGTAAAAGACAGAGGAGGAAGTTGAGGAGCCTTAATGGATGGCTGCAACTTAACAAAGCAAAAGATAAGATAGGACCGCTGAAGAGAGGAATGGAAATGTGGGGACATAAAGAGGAATGGACCAGAGAGCTGCCTGAGGACACATGAGCATCACTGAGGCCCGGCTGATCTGTTTGGTGACACAACAGTGTTATAGTGTCAAGAACTTGCTGTGTCTACAATGTTGCCAGCAGGGTCTTAGGTTACCCCAGGAAAAGTGCAGTCCTGCCCTGCATGGTTAGACTCCTCAAGGAAAGAGAACTTGCCCTCTACAACACACACTCGAAGAAAGACTGACAAAAAGGAACAAGTTCAAAGGAAGGTAACTGCCAGGAAAAAGTTGTGAGGAAATCCCAAGGGAGATCATTCTGGAGCTGGTCTGAGATCAGTGAATAGGTGGTTACCCAGACTTCCAAGACCATGGAAATGCATATTATCTACCCATTCACGAAGCAGCACCTATTTATCCTCTCTTAATTATACAATCAGGCCTTCATTACATTGGAGAAAGGTGGGAGATCAGGAGATAAAAAGAGAAGAAGAGGAAGGTATTAGTGAACTTCACTTCTTTGGATAAAAGTGGAGGACAGAAGCCAACTGACTTCCAGATAAAATCTGAGAGGAGATCAGTGATAACCAATCAGAAACCACTAATCAAAGAACTTTGTTTTCATACAGCAGATTTATTTTCCCCCCAATATCCTGGTTCTTGCCTCCCTCCTCTCTCCAGCAACAATCAGTTACCAAGTCCAACAAATGCCACCTCCTTTATCTCTCAAATCCACCCACACCTGTTCATCTCTACAGCCAATGCCTTCATCCAGGCCCTCATCCTCTGTCACCGGATCATCGTAACAGTGCCTGACTGGTTCCCTGCTGGTCCTGCCCTGTCCAGTGTAATCATCACATTGCTGCCCGGGTAATTTAAACAGACCAGAACATGTCAGACCCCTGTTCAAAATTCTTTAGTGCCCTGCTCTCCACCCCAATGCTTTAAAAATAAAAACCAAATTTCTTAGTCTGGCAGTATTAACTGCTACTATTTATTGGGTGCTTATCACCTACCAGTGCCAATTGAGTAACATATCACCTCATTCAATTTATAATTCCGCTTTTTATAGATGAGGAAACTGAGCTTAGAAAGGAAGTGACTTGCCCAAGGTTACAAAACTAGTTCAGTGGCAAAGCTAGTACTGGTACACAGGTGTCTTAGATTCCAAAGTCTGTGCTTTTAACATGCCCACAAGGCCCTTCGTGATGTGGTTCCTGCTTACCTCTCCAGTCACCTCTCGTCCTACAACTCTGCACTGCAACTCTGGTGAACCATGTGCAGGTTATGCATTCTCACCTACAGCCCTTTGCTCAGGCCACCCCCCACCCCTCTTCACCTGGCTAATCATGCTCATCTTTTAGGGCTTGGATAAAGCATCACCTCCTCACACAAGCCTTCTCGGATGCATCAACCTGACTTACAAGAACTGTAAATCCTCTTCTACCAAACCTCTGCAATAGCTTCATGCCACACTGTTGTTGTCTATCTCCTTGACTTAAAAGAAAAAGTAAACTCCTTGAGGATAGGGATGCGTATCTTACTCTGGTGAGTGCACTTGAGCACTTGTGGTGCAGTGCCAGGAACAAAGCAGATGCTCAATAAATACAAGCGTACTTCAAAAAGTTTGCGGAAAAATTAGATTAAAAGATAATACGAATCCTTCCGTGAATTTTTTGAAGTACTCTTGTATTTATGTTTTTTCTCCATAATAACAGAAAAGGGACTGTGTGGTTGAATAACAGAGCCCAGTACTCAGTTCCTTAAAGGGTTTCAAAATCATGTTACATAAGGGCAGGGAGGAGTTGGCCAAGAAAAATGGAAGGGGAAGGAGAAGTGTTCTAGGTAGCAGAAGCAGCAGGAGCAAAGGGCTATGAGACTCGAGCACAGAGTTGGAGGATGGAGGAAGTGAGGCAAGATGAGCCTTCACAAGACTGGCTTTTTCTTCATTCCAGTGTTAGCTCAAACATCAATTCCTCACAAAAGTCATCCCTGATCAGCCAGCTTTTAAAATAGCTTCCTCTGCTTTCCCCCAGTTACTCTCTATTCATGGCTGTTTCTTTTTGTAGCACCTATCGGGATCTGAAACACGTATCAACCCTTAAAAGTATCATATTGATTGACAATCACCACCACCACGATCAAAAAGTAGGCTCCACGGGCCTGCCCGTGGCTCACTCGGGAGAGTGCGGCGCTGATAACACCAAGGCCACGGGTTCGGATCCTATATAGGGATGGCCGGTTGGCTCACTAGCTGAGCGTGGTGTTGACAACACCAAGCCAAGGGTTGAGATCCCCTTACTGGTCATTTTTAAAAAAAAAAAAAAAAAAAAAAGTAGGCTCCATGAAACAGGGCTCTTCTTTTTCTTAGTTTACTGCCACATCACTTGTGCCTATAATAATGCCTGGTGCATTAACAGGCAAATATTTGTTTTATTCACTCATTTAACAAATATTATCGAGCATATTATATTATATACAGGCATTGTTCTATATGATGGGGATATAACAACAAATAAAACAAAGCAAAATTCTCTGTCATTGTAGAGCTTACTATGGATAAATGAATGTGCTTAGCTTTGAGAAGAAAAAGGGGGAAGCAGAAGACAAACTCTGGCTGTCACCCTGTCTCTTGCAGCTTTCAAAGATGTGCGGGGCAATCTAAGAGCCTGAAGGAGGGATAATGAGCTGAGGTTACTGGATAACTGCTTTCAGTTCAGCATATAACTTTTTAAGCCAGAGCTGGGGGAAGACCAAGCAGGAGCAAAGAGAAGTGGTGAGCTTTCTGTCACCGAAGAAGTTTGACGAGTGGGCAGGGGTGTAATACAAAATAGGAAAGGGAGCCTGGGATCCAGAGGTGACAGTGTTCAAAAATGAGGTGATTTGGTTTCATTTCTTCAATATAATATATGTTGGTGCTGTTCTTATACAACTCCTGGGATCCAGAGGTGACAGTGTTCAAAAATGAGGTGATTTGGTTTCATTTCTTCAATATAATATATGTTGGTGCTGTTCTTATACAACTCAATTCAGTAAAAATAAAAGTTTGACTCTTTCTGACAAAGAAATTTTCTTACACTGACATTTACCTTACCTGATTCCTATTAAGCATTAGTTTGTAACCCTTGGACTAAACCAAGGAATAGAGAAACTTAGCTCAGCAAAGACCTTAGAGTAAACTTACTTTAACCTCTTCACTTAACAAATGACATATTATCATTCCCATTTTACAGATGAGGGAAGACAGGCTCAGAAAGGGGAGGAACGTGCCAGAGTCACACAGCAAGTCCGGGCAAAGCCCAAGTGTCCTATTTCCCGTGTTCCAACACCGGGGGCACTCCCTGCCAGAGAACAAGAGGAACTGACTTAGGATATTATCAGGAGTTTCCTAGTCAGAAGACCCCGGACTGAACCAGTGCGAGGGGATGTGGCTGAAGAGAAAGCACGATAGCCGGAGTCGGTAACTCCCAAGAGGTGGGAGGACGACTCAGAGGCGGACGGAGGAGGATCCTGAAACCCGCTATGACCTTCGCCCTCACCGCGGAACTCGCCCTTTGTCTCCAGGCCTCCAAAACAGACCCTGCAAGACCCCACCACTCCCTCACCAGCCGCGGTCCACTTACCGCCGCTCAACTTCCGGCAACCACAGCGTCGTCCGCAGCGCGCGCCCCGATGACGCAGAGTGGCCCCGCCCCCGCCTGCCGAGGGAGAGTGGCGCGCGTGCGCACAGGAGCCTGGGCCAACACGGGAAAATGAGCCCCTAGCACCGGGCTCAGTGGGAGGAACTCGAGTCGTGGGGGGGCGGGGCCTCAGGAGGTGCGCGAGGGGCCGGAGCGATCGAGAAACTTTCTCCTGTATCAGATGCGGGAATGGGTGTGGGCCCATCAGGCTTTTTAAAAAGTGCTCCACGTTCTTTCTTGTGATTTCAGGGGATGACAGGAATTATCATCCTTGCCATTTTCCGGGAGAGGCGGAGTCAAACGTAGCACAGGGATCATTAGGGAGACAGGTGCGGAGAGACAGGAGGTGAGAATTTTAGTAGGTAAAGGCCAATGAGAGTCGACAATGACCCACTTGCGCTTTCGAAACCAGCCATTATTCTCGTAGCTCCTTGCCGTCAGTGGGAGGATAAAGCTATTCATTCTAAATTATTTGCCGAGTACATACTATGTACGAAGTACTGGGCAGGTGTTGAAGATGCGACAGTGAATATGATAAATTTCTTAATCTGGCCTATAGGGCCTTTCCCAAAGTGACTATGATATAGCTGTATGAGCTCATAATAACAAGAGCAATGACTACTATTTACTGATTATTTACCATGGTTTCAGGGTTTCACATCTCTAATCCTCACAAGGGTCCTGCAAGGTAGATGTTATATTATTATCCCCATTTTACATATGAAAGAACAGAGGCTAGGAAAAATGAAGTGGCTTCCTGAAAGTTAAAGGGCTTTGGGGCCGGGACTGTAAGGGAAGTCTGTTTGACTCTGTCAAATAAGAAAACAAATCCAGACTTAGTAACTTTCCTAGAAAGGATTATGGCAAGGGGTGAAAGAGGGAGGGGAGGAACTATGCAAAAGCGAGACTACTCTGACCAAAAGATCCACTCGTTTCTCAAGGGTTGAGTAAAGATGGCTAGAAACTGGATATGCAAAAGTGGGATTAAAGGGTGACTTGATCTGATAGCAGATCAGAGAATGTTTTACTTTGAGGCCCAGCCTATTCTCAGAAGGGGTTGTATGTTGGGTCAGGCTGAGAGTGGGTCAAAATTAAGGAACCTGGGGGAAGGAAAGAAGCTTAACCAAACTATGGTTAACAGCATTTTTTCTGGTTTGTCAGTGGAGACAAGCTGTTCAGCTAATCATTTGTGAGGCAAAGAATGGGAATTCAGAAGGACTGTGTCTGGCCTTACCACAGGTAAACAAGAGAGGCATCCATGAATCTAAGTCACGTGGGAGTGGGTGTTTCTTTGCAATAAACAGTTTCCAGAGCACAAAACAATGGAAGGATTTCCTAACCATCACTGTTTTCCAAGAAACACAGGGCCCCAGGGAAAATTCAACATTGCCAACTGTTTTGACTGTATCAGTCTCGTCTCCTGCCACCGCCCCTCGGACTGCATGCTTGGGTCACACTAAACTGATTCTAGTTTTCTAAGCACATTCTTCTCTTTTATATCTCTATCTCTGCAATGCCCTTACACTTTCTCTACTTATGTAACTCTTTCTCAGTTACATAACCCAGTCTTCATAACCCAGTTGAAATATGGGTGGATCTTAGACAAAATATTGGTGGAAAAAAAGTAAATATTGTGAAACTTTTCAGAATCAAAATGGAGTCACTTGTGTTTAAAATAAATAAATAAATAAATAAAACCTGACAAATAGAGCCAGGAAAGGCCATGGAGGGTTTTCATGCACAAATGCCTGACAGCAAGAACTATCACAAAGGACTCTACAAAGCCACAACCTTGCACAGAGGCCATCACAACCTTACACAAAAAATACTTCTGTGACATCTGCCCAGCAACTGCCTGTCCACCCTTGAACTGGCATTGCCCTTGTTATTGTTATTACCTTGTTATTATCCTCTAGCCAAGGATAATTATCTGAAAACAATTATGTAATCCTCCTCATTTTTCCTTTAAAGCCCTTTGTTTTCCTTTACCTCCCTGAATTAGCAAATAGTTTACTATGGCACACATATTCCCATTGCAATGTTCTATTCCTGATCAAAGTCATTATTCTTTTGGAGAGCATCTCTCTGTTATTTAGGTTCACACTATTGTATGTTTCTACCTATATAAAGTTCTAAAATCATCAAAACTAATCAGAAGTAATAGAAGTCAGATCAGCAGTCGAGTGGTTGCCTGGGGTAAAGAGGGGGCTCTGAGAAGGTGCATGAGGAGCTTTCTGGGGTGATGGAAATGACCTACAGCCTGACCAAGATAGGGATGACATGTGTGTACACATTTATCAAACTTTCTGAACTCTAAATTTAGAAGGTACATTTTAGGGCCGGCCCGGTGGCACACTTGGTAAAGTGTGGCACTTGGGAGCGCGGCGGCGCTCCTGCCAAGGGTTCGGATCCCATATAGAGACCGGTCCG